ATTTAAATTTTAATCATGCCGAGCTTTTAAAGGATGTAAAAACGATCTAAATCGCCCTTAGGAGAAGTTGTCTGCCTTTTCTCCTCGTGGAACAGTGCTCTTTTCTCCTCGTGGAATCTCACAGTGCTCTAGCGATCAGAAAAGGAAGGGTTTATTGACAGCTATTCAAGGCAAGAGATTCCATTCCTGCATTGCCATTAACATGGCCGTCGGTGGGTTGCGAATTAGGAGGGGCGGCGCACATGTCCGAAGTGTCATATTTTACCTCTTCCAAATATTTTTTGAACGAGGAAAACTATGGCATCTACATGACAACCGATTTGCACTTATCGACATTTTAATACTTGTCTAAGACAACTTTTATGTTGATAACGGAAGATACAACTGTGCTCATGCGAATATAAGAGATTTTTTAAAACATATTTCCTGCAAAAAAAAAAAAAAATGAAATCAGATGAAAGGGTCTATATTTTTTAGCTTAGTTAATAGCCGCGAACTCTGCTGAACTAAACTCTAATTAGGTGTACGTTGCCCCCACCCAACTCCCAATACCCCTATTCTTCCTCAAGCTTCCTTTGCTCCACATTCATCCGCTATAAAAAAATATTCAGACGAACTCCCGATAGTCGACGATGCTACCCATTCCAAAAATAATTATCATTTTTATAACTGAGCACTTAAAACTAAATTCGTCCTCAAAAATTAAAGACACTAAATACAAGTTGTAATTTTACCTAAATATAGTTTTACCTAAATGTCTTATTGCTTTTATGATCTCAATAATACACTCTTATGAATAAAAATACCTATACCAAAAAACAATAATTTGTTTGAAAAATGCAGTTAAACTATAAAACCTAAAAATCGGAGTCATTTCCCTAATAATTTGGCCACTTTCTTACATTGTACTTTCTGCTGCGTAAGTGTTTCTACCAATTAGACTATAATGGCCATAAAAAGGCGTTTATTAATTTTAATGATAGAGTAAATGCATTAATTACTATTTGCACTCTTATTCTAATAGATTAACTGTCTGTAACAAATATTGTTCTTCAGTTTGTAGTAGTGGTGGTAATCGTGGTAGTGGTTGTAGTAGTGGGGGTGGCGGTGGCGGCGGTGGTAGAGGTAACAGTAGCGGTAGCGGTAGCAGTAGCAGTAGCATATAATAGTGGCTGGCGAAGCCGCGGACAGGGGATCTCCAAAACGAAAACCCTGGGAGGAAAATGATTACAGATTGCGCAGCAGCACTTAATCTAACGGTCATGAACACGGGAACACAACCGACATTTATAAGATACACGCAAAGATCATTCATCGATATATCGCATTGTTCTAACAATCTAACAAACTGCATTACAGAGTGGAAAGTCCTAGAAGAAGAAACATTTAGCGACCATAGGTATATAACTTTCAAAATATCTGAAACGCTGAAATCCACAGAACCACGAAGTACCTCCTCTCCGGCAATCAAACTTGACAAAATGATATTTTGACGTGCTCTACAAGACAGTGCATCCAGAAGGTCCAACTATACACCCACAGAATACGTGAAACGTTTACATAAACTCCAAGATCGACACAAGAGTCAATAAAATAGATCCTCCATGGCGGGGACCTGAACTCTCTGCACTAAGAAAGGAAGTCCTTGCCGCTAGAAGAAAACATCAAAGGCAAAAAAGAACAAATTCCCCGAGTGAACGGAGACCTGACAGTCTCTATAAAACATAAAAAAGACCCTCTGGAAAAGAATTGCTCTAGAAAAACGGAAGTGTTGGCTCCAACTATGCCAGAATTTTGAAACAAATGTGTGGGGGGACAGATATCGAATAGCTATCAAAACACTGCGCGTAAATGAGGGTAGAGTACACTTACCTTTAGAAAGAAGATTGGATATCATCAACAGTCTCTTTCCACGACATACTAAGAAACTATGGAACGTCGAAATTGGAACCAAGGAAATTCTAGCCCTGACAAAGAGCGAGCTCCGAAACGGCGCTAAGAAATTAAAAGAAGGCAAAGCACCAGGACCAGATGGAATACCGCCGGAAGCAGTAAAAATGCTGGTTGACGTGGACTTGGAGTACACGAAGCGTACCTTAGAAACATTATTAAAGCGAGGTACCTTCCCACGTACCTGGAAAAAGGCCAGATTTCTACTAATACGTAAACCTGGGCTCAAAAGCTATAGACCCATATGCCTGCTGGATACTCTCAGCAAACTGTACAAGCACGTGATATTAGGGAGACTAAAAGAAGAAATTAATAAAACAGGAAACCTGAGCGACAGGCAGTATGGCTTCAGGCAACACAAATCGACGTATGGAGCTATCGATAATGTCCTAAGTACAGCGAGGAAGGCTAACGACCAAGACCTGCTGAGTGCATTAATATTCCTGGATGTAAAAAACGCACTCAACAGTGCGTCTTGGTCTACAATAATGAGGGAGTTGGAGGAAAGTGGTATTCTAACCCAAAGAGCAATTACTGTCGGAAAGGGCAAGGAACTAGAAATGACAATAGGAGTCCTACAGGGTTCAGTTCTGGGTCCAACCCTGTGGAACATACTAGTTGATGGAGTCCTCCGACAAACAACTCCCGAAGGGACGACACTCATCGCGTTCGCAGATGACCTAGCAATCGTAGTCACCGGAAAGACGACAGAAGAACTCACGTTCAATGGAAATGCAACCCTGCGAATAGTGAACGCATGGATGAGAAAAAACTCGCTAACCCTGGCACACCACAAAAATGAAGGCCGATCTTTTGCTAGGAAAACGAAAACCCAAGCCTGTTCTTTTCAAGATTCAAGACACTGTAGAGAAAACGGTAAAAGTAGTTAATTATCTAGGGGTGGTAATAGATGGGTGACTCACTTTTGGACACCACTTCAATATGGTAACTGAAAAGGCAGGTAGGACAATTGGCGCACTCAGCAGACTGATACCGAATATAGGAGGCCGCAGCCAAGGAAAGAGAACAATACTGAGCTCTGTAATGCACAATGCATTACTTTATGCTGCACCTATATGGGCAGAAGCAGCACTGAGTAAATATAATATGACAAAACTCGTCAGGACGCAAAGGAAAATGGCGCTGCGAATTGTATGTGCATATAGAAGTTCCCGCAGAAGCATCATTGGTTCTAGCAGGACTTATGCCAATACACATTCTGGCCCAGGGAAGAAAGTCATTACATGTAGCAAGAGAGGAAGGCACAACAAAAGAGAAGACCCGGGAACAATCTTTCAAAAAATTTCAGAACAAATGGGACAACACGTCCAAAGCTTCATGGACACGACGTTTCATCAAAGAGATACAGCGTTGGGTGTCACGAAAACATGGTCACTTAAACTACCATTCAACACAATTTTTCACAGAACATGGTAACTTTGGAGTATACACGCTTAGAATTGGCAAAACGTTAGATGACCTATGCCGCTACTGTCAGGCCAAAGATACAGCAGAACACACTGCTTTCCGCAGCTGTAGATGAAAAAAACAAAGATGGGACCTAAATCTACAACTGGGAGAGGACCTAACGGCAGAAAACATAACGAAAATGTCAGGAAGCAACAGCAATTGGAGCAAATTAAGCACGTATTTGTCTACCATCTTAAGCACACAAGAAAAAGACAAAAGAGACTCACGGCGTACACTCCTGAAATCCTAATCACCACCGGGGACGTGGGGAGCTACGACAAAACAGAAGACATGGAATAAACGGCAGCCCAGTGCCTCCGACGTGATGCCAAACCGGCGGTTCCGAGGGCAGTAAGAAGGGCGGTTCGACATG